GAGCATTCTGTGAGATTGTGAAGATTATATTATTAAAACTTATCCTTATAAGTGCATTCCATGAAAAACAGTGGAGTGTTCCAGACAACTTTACAGTGCCACAGTGCTTGCGAAAGTATTCGGCCCCCTTGAACTTTGTGACCTTTTGCCACATTTCAGGCTTCAAACATAAAGATATAAAACTGTAATTTTTTGTGAAGAATCAACAAGTGGGACACAATCATGAAGTGGAATGAAATTTATTGGATATTTCAAACTTTTTTAACAAATAAAAAACTGAAAAATTGGGCGTGCAAAATTATTCAGCCCCCTTAAGTTAATACTTTGTAGCGCCACCTTTTGCTGCGATTACAGCTGTAAGTCGCTTGGGGTATGTCTATCAGTTTTGCACATCGAGAGACTGAAATTTTTGCCCATTCCTCCTTGCAAAACAGCTTGAGCTCAGTGAGGTTGGATGGAGAGCGTTTGTGAACAGCAGTTTTCAGTTCTTTCCACAGATTCTCGATTGGATTCAGGTCTGGACTTTGACTTGGCCATTCTAACACCTGGATATGTTTATTTGTGAACCATTCCATTGTAGATTTTGCTTTATGTTTTGGATCATTGTCTTGTTGGAAGACAAATCTCCGTCCCAGTCTCAGGTCTTTTGCAGACTCCATCAGGTTTCCTTCCAGAATGGTCCTGTATTTGGCTCCATCCATCTTCCCATCAATTTTAACCATCTTCCCTGTCCCTGCTGAAGAAAAGCAGGCCCAAACCATGATGCTGCCACCACCATGTTTGACAGTGGGGATGGTGTGTTCAGGGTGATGAGCTGTGTTGCTTTTACGCCAAACATAACGTTTTGCATTGTTGCCAAAAAGTTCGATTTTGGTTTCATCTGACCAGAGCACCTTCTTCCACATGTTTGGTGTGTCTCCCAGGTGGCTTGTGGCAAACTTTAAATGACACTTTTTATGGATATCTTTAAGAAATGGCTTTCTTCTTGCCACTCTTCCATAAAGGCCAGATTTGTGCAGTATACGACTGATTGTTGTCCTATGGACAGAGTCTCCCACCTCAGCTGTAGATCTCTGCAGTTCATCCAGAGTGATCATGGGCCTCTTGGCTGCATCTCTGATCAGTCTTCTCCTTGTGTGAGCTGAAAGTTTAGAGGGACGGCCAGGTCTTGGTAGATTTGCAGTGGTCTGATACTCCTTCCATTTTCCATTTCAATATTATCGCTTGCACAGTGCTCCTTGGGATGTTTAAAGCTTGGGAAATCTTTTTGTATCCAAATCCGGCTTTAAACTTCTCCACAACAGTATCTCGGACCTGTCTGGTGTGTTCCTTGTTCTTCATGATGCTCTCTGTGCTTTAAACGGACCTCTGAGACTATCACAGTGCAGGTGCATTTATATGGAGACTTGATTCCACACAGGTGGATTCTATTTATCATCATTAGTCATTTAGGTCAACATTGGATCATTCAGAGATCCTCACTGAACTTCTGGAGAGAGTTTGCTGCACTGAAAGTAAAGGGGCTGAATAATTTTGCACGCCCAATTTTTCAGTTTTTTATTTGTTAAAAAAGTTTGAAATATCCAATAAATTTCGTTCCACTTCATGATTGTGTCCCACTTGTTGTTGATTCTTCACAAAAAAATACAGTTTTATATCTTTATGTTTGAAGCCTGAAATGTGGCAAAAGGTCGCAAAGTTCAAGGGGGCAAGGGTGGGTAGCAGCTGCAGAGAGACAGCAGAGAGGCGTGTAAGACTGCGACCCTGCATCCTGGACTCAACTCTGGGTTGTCATAATTAAAGGACCCGATTAAAGGACCCGTTGGGCTGAGGGAGGCAGTAATCGCATGCTATCAATCAATTAATTGATGATTGGTGCGTTCGGTTAGTTCAGCGCTCCTGTTCCCAGAGTGATTTGTGCTGACTGATTGAGAGTCTGTGCTCTGTGACCTTAGGGCTGACGCCATGTCTGATACACTCAGTCAGAAGGCGGCGGATAGCGATGGAGGAAGCAGCAGCACAGATGACAAGAGGTCCAGGAGCGAGCTGAGCTCCCCCACCGACATCAGACCGCCTGAGACCTATAACAGGTCTGTCATGTAAGGCACCTTCCATTATCACGACAGGAGAGAGGAACGTTTCTCTGCAGCAACTGTTAAAAAGGATCCTCCAGCTTGTTCTCTCACCTCTAAAAATACCTGCAAATTTCATCGTGCTGTTATCACATCTGATTCTCATGTGACCCGTCTCCCCGTCTGCAGGCACCAGGCATCTTTCACTTTCATATTCACAGTCATTCCTACCAAAGTGCGTGTGAGAGGGCACAGGTGCCCTGAGCTGAACCATGTGTCCAGCAGTGAGGGAGGGAGTATTCAGTAGGACAACAGTGTAAACATGCTCATTCTAAGTGAAGGTCGAGCATTCACAACCTTTTTAAGGAGAATTAGTATTTTACAGTTGCAAGTGCTTGAGGTCGAGCTGTTTAAGCCAGTGGTTCTCAAGCTCAGAGTCCAGCTCCTCCAAGGGGTCACATGATAAATCTGAGAGGTGGTGAGATTATTAATGGCTACACAATTCGTTTACTTTCCGTACTTTTCTTCACACTTTCTGATTACAATTAGGAGAAAGCGAACTGATGGTCTATTCCGCCGCCCCCTCGGCCGCTCTAATGACACCCACGGGAACGGGGGCCTGATGGAGCGAAGCTCTCCGCCGGTGACGGGTCACTTCAGTCCCAGGGAGCTGCTGCTGGGACGGGGCCAAGGTTTGACCCCGCCCCTTGACAGCCCGGAGCACCGCCGCCGCTCCACTGCTGCTGTGACTATGACAGTGAGCCGACACGATTCGCTGCGAAGGCCAGAGGACACGCCCATCCGGCGTTCCAGCAGTGGGCAGCATGGCTTCAGTGATTCTCATCGATCCAGAGTGTTGGACCCCGACACGCTGGCACAGGTACAGACACATATACGGTTTGTTCATTTCAGACAGCAGCAATTAAAGCTGCATTAATCAATATTTAAAGTCAGCATTTTTTGTAGCAACAAATAATAGTGTGTTCTTCGATGTATTGTCACAAGTTTTCTTTATTATTAAAAAAAGAAACCAAGCTTTGGGTGTCACACTGTAGGAAGCAGAGACCGCCTAAGCAAACTTGCACTGCAGCGCCGAGTAGTGTGCAGCCAGTATGTTGTTAGTGGTGACCACAGCAGCATCTGAACGCATCTAGGTGTCGTTTGCAGGAGCCGCTACATGCTGTTTAATGTGCTGAACAGGTAATTAGATACGTAGCTTGACAACTGAGGATAGCAGGTCACTTCACCGACCTCAATGCTTCATTTCCTGCTGTATTATTAAGTTCTGTTCATGTAGACGGACACTGGAATGGTATTTTGTCAAATTCAAGCCAAAGGGCCATCATGAGAGCAGCAAACTGAAAAATATATATTGATACTTTTCTTGAGGCCCCAGAGAAGTGATTTATTGAGCAGATATAACACCCCCTTTATTCCTCCCATCCTCTGCAGGATATCGAGGAGACGGTGACTGTGGCCCTGGGGGAGCTGCGGCAGCTGGAGCGGCTGCCGGCCGGCTCCCGACGTGGTGCTGGACACTCTGGAGCAGGTGAAGAACGGCCCTGTGACCACCTGCTCCTCTGAGTCTCTCTGCCCCCACAGCACCCCCAGCACTCCGGGCACACCGGGCACCCCCGGAACCCCTGGCACCCCGAGCCCCCTCAGTCCTCTGAGCCCGATCAGCCCGCTCCCTGGACCTACGCCGGGTCCTCCCAGACCGGCCAACCCTTCCCCTGACACCCTGGGCTCCTTCAAGCCTGTGGCAGCTGCCCGCATCGGGGCTCCGCTACGGCCCCCTGCCCTGAGGCCCAAACCTATGGTCCCACCCAAGAGCAGCACCCCACCTCTGCCCTCACTGCTGGACAAATCCTGCACCATGTGAGCCAAACCAGGCCGATAAAAGGCAGAATCAGGCCCGCCCAGGCCAAAAATGGGCCAAGAGGAGATCAGGGTACCGTTCAATGTTTATAATCAACAAGGGTAGAAACGATAGGAAAGACAAAGGGTTTTAATGTAGTACTATAATATAAGACATGACCTATGATATGATATGCCATGATATTTGTGTCGTCAGGTTGATGTGTACTCTCTTGGTGTGTAGGAGTTTACTTTCTCCATGTATTGAAGCATTTATCAAAGGTTAGCTAAAAGAAGTGCTGATACAGAGATAGCGGAGCGAGCGCAGACACAGCATCCTGTGCTGTACATGAGTCCATAGTCAGAGAGCCGTGGGGAGTGTAGCTCAGCTCCAGTAAAGTGTCGTTTCAGTGACGTGAATGTTGGCTGTGCTGTCATGAAGATAGGCCTGCGCTGGCTGGAAGGCTGCTCTTTTCTGAAAACTGTCACCATCGACTGCTGTATCTGTAACGAGTGACCTGACTGGTTAGAGGAGGACACGGCAGAGGGAAGGCATCACTGGTTCAACAATGTCTGTGTGATTTATACTTTATTTTTTTATTTTTCACTTGGTTCAGCTGCTAAGCTCACTCAAACCTCAAACCACGAAACGCCTCTTGAGGTCACCAGTGACACCAAACTCATGTTATTTAACCAACGTCCAGCTATTTAATGAATGTTTCTAGTATTTAACGACTGTTCAGCCATTTATTGAATGTTCAGTGAGATGTCGTGGCAACTCACTAAACTTTATATCAGCCTTTTTGTGTTTTTGGAGGGGAAACCCACACCCAGATCGGAGCTTCAAATAGGGTGGGACCGTTGAGTGGTGGAGGGAGCTTGGACAGAACTTTTTCTGGGAGTGGGTGTATAATTTCGTTCTTGTTGAGTGCGTGACTGTGTGTGTCCCGCTTGGCTGCCCTTGTTCTGCTCCCTTTGTAAGTGCAGAAGCACTAGCATAGTGATAGATGAATCATGCCTGCCTTGAGTGCCAGAACACGCAAGTGCAAGTTGGGAAGATGAGTGTGACAAGCATGCCACTTCCTGTATATCTCTGTGTGTGTATGCCGAGTATGCGTGTCAAAATAATGGTTTACCTGCTTGTTACACTGAAGTCACTAGTTAACCTTAAATTCACAATAAGCTAACAGGGTGGGGCTCTGTGTGTAAACGCCCACAAACAGCACAGTGAATGTGGCCTCCGAGCGGGCTGGTAACTGATGAGTGAGAGCTGACGTGCAGAGATGGGCTATGGATGCACATCTGTGTGTGAATGTGTTTGTGAAAGTGCCTTTTTTTTAATCCTTGTATTTTTGGGGGGGGGGTGTGAATCCACTCACGCATGTCCTGAACGAAGAGCAGCAGCACTCTGAATGAAATAATCATAAAGTGTTTAGTAGATTCCTGAATTATGAATTCTAGCATTAACTCATTGTGACATTGCACTTTGATGTATAGGATTGTGTACTTGGCATGTAGCATCATGACACATTGGTGCGTTTTAACTCAAAGGGCGGTTCCTTGAATGTGTTTGATAATAAAGGAAATGGTTTTTGTCTGTTAGTGTTGCTGTATTTGAAACCTGAGCTTCCTACAGATGAGCTCATATAGCCAAATGGATTGTATCAGTGTGTTGTATTTATATTATAAATAATCCTGAATAAATTAGCATTCAAGTCATTAACAGACTGAACCGTTCTTTAAAAAAAATGCCACATTGTTTTGCTCCAACACTCAAACCTCCAGCTGTGTTCTGTTAATCAGCAGATTCCTAAAGTTTTCATCACACCCCCATGAAAGCTGATTCGAATTCGGGCAAGCCAGTTTTTATGTCAGCAAGTGAAAGCATCACCATTCAAATGCAGTTTGTGGACAACAGTAAACAAATTGAACTATTGAATCTCTTTAAACTTGTGACCACCATAAAATAAAACTAAACCTGTCAGCACCCCCTGGTGGACAAACAATGCAAGAGCATCACTATATAAATACTGTGTGTACAGTGTATGCAGTCTCTGCTTTAATCAAAGCTGCTAATTAAATTTTATAATCAATCAAGCAATATTTCAGGTTAAGGAAAGGAGGCCAGATGTGCAATCATCTTAAAACTTCAAACTGTATCAAGCACACTAAATATATGAAATTACAAATAAACAGTAAGTGTATTTAAACAGTGATTGATTGTAATATAATTAAAATCCTTAGCCAACTTTCAATAAGCAGGCTTTCAGCGCTAGCAGCATACTGCTCACAGGACTGTCACAGCCTAAGAGGAAACTAGATTCACAGAGTAGTGGACATGGTTCACATCTTTGGTCTGGAACGTTTTTGGCAAACTGAGAAACCAGTATCTGAGCTAACGGGTTCCACAAGAGTAGAGGTTCTTCATCCTTTCCCATCAGAACACCTGGTGTGCACCTGTGTGTGTGTGTGTGGTTCAGCTGTAGCTCAGCCCTTTGACCCGGGTTTGAGAGTACTGAAGGGTTTGGAGTTTCGCAATGAGCCTGAGATCTCCTGCAGGAAGCCGGCGATGTGCAGATCCTTCTCTGACTTCCTGCCATCAAAGATGACCACCAAAGTGAAGTGTGGCTCAGGCCGTGTCAGGTAGTAGGTGCTCTGGACCTTATCGTCGTAGAAGTGCACCACCTTGTCCAGAGTGTTGAGCTCGGCAGCATGGTCCCCCATCATCATGATGACGTTAGGCCAGTGTGTGAGCGGCCGCTCTCCTGACGGCAGGGACACCACGGCAGGGAACTGCTCCACCCCCTTCGGTGCTTCTCGGTACGAGTGTGGGTGGTGGTAGCCGTGGCCCTGGAAGCTCTCAGAGCCACGGTTGTCAAACACTAGAGACACGTTGCTGGCATCATGTTTGCGGATGAATGAGCAGATCTTGCCGTGGTAGTCTGGCGTGGTGCGGGCAGTCAGGGCTTTCATGTCACCTGGCCCTGTCTGCCGGCTCAGGGCTTCATGGAAGTAGAAGCTGAACTTGGCGAGGAGTGCCGCCTGGAAGCGCTGCAACCACATATACAGATGCGGTGGCTGCACCGCCTTCTGGGTCTGACCTCCAAACAGATGCTTGCGGGTCTCCTTCTGCCTCTGGAAGAGCTGACCCCATGCAGTGAGCTTGGAGTTGGCGCCATGCAAGCTGAGCAGAGCAGGCAGAAAATGCCATTCAGACACCTGAGCCTGGCACCGCAGTAACTGGGTCACCACATCCACCTCAGTCTGGAAGCCCTCCTCCACACGGCCCAGGATGGGGTGGTGGAACCTGAAGGAGCGAGGAACAGGAGGTTAGTAACTTAACAGGCACACAGATGCACAGACACTAACTGGCCTAATTGGTGGTGACCTGAATACATTTGCATTTCAGTTCACTCTACGTTTGGCATCCATTTGTTTCTGTGGGTCTGCTGATGAGAGCACCGCCTTCTGCCCCCCGCTGCACAGTCACATTAGTGATGTGTGGCATGTCATCGACTGCAGCTCAGTCAACAGCTCTTCCACACACTTTGTGTTCCTGCTGTAGGACACGGCTTCACTGACAGGTCTCTGGGGAACAGGCCGGAATCCTGAGTTTGCTGGATTAAGCAGGAAATGTTCCTCCTCCAACCCCAATATGTCACTCTCCTTTACCTTCCTCTGTCTCACCAGGGGGTTTGTGTTTTTAAAATCCAGGCCAGACTTGGTGAACACAGTAGAAGGTGTGTTTTATTATATGAGTGAGTCCCTAAACCCTCGCTCACTGCAGTAAGGATGTTTAACTTGTTTAAAAATGAGCTAGAAATGTTTCTCTAGCTCAGAATAAGAATAGCGAGGCAGGCTGCACTAGAATTATGAAATGTACAATTTTACAGAATATTTGAAACAAACTTGATTTTGTTACTTTAACAGAACCTTCAGGATTCAGATAAGGACTACAATTTCCCAAAAAGCTTTAAACAGATCATATGTTTTGAATGAAAACCCTTAATCTGTGAAATAACTCTTAAAGCTGCATTAACTAAAAGAGGGGACATGATCACCTATACAAGCATAAATTGAAATTTCTCGTTTCACATATAACTCATGGTTATGTGTGCCAAGTATGTAACACCGAACGCGATGCGACAGTGGCTGGAACATTAGTACTGGGAGAAACATTCCTCTGTATAATTTACCTGTGTTACTGCAGATACATCTGATCCAACCAACATTAGACATACGTACACGTCACTAAAATGTAAGCCTTTTTATTTGCTGCAGTGCCACCAAAAGCCACGAGCTCTATGGGGTCTATATTCCGTATACATTAGTTCTGGAGCTGGTTATTACTGCTGCGCTACCTGACTGTCACAACTGCCTCCGGCTGCCATGACCACATATGACATAGCTTCACGGACAGGGCAGGAGCAAGAAAAGGAGGGGAGTGAGAAGAGGAGGGGATACTGCTTGAGTTTGTTTTGGTTCTCACTTCACCCTTAATGGTAAAAATTTAGAGGAAGTTGGTTAATGCAGCTTTAAATAAATAAATACACTGAAGTAAAAAGTACAATATTTCCCTCTAAAATGTAATGAAGTAGAAAGTAGTAAGTGAAATACTAAAGTATAAGTAGAATGAAGTTCAGTAAATGTACTCAGCTACTCTGCAGCACTGAGGTCTGAGATGCTACACACAAATACACACTTGGAACTGTATTCATGCAGGACTGCCTCCAGCGTGGTGACCAGCTCGTCTGAGTTGATGCTCTTCTGGCTGCCCAGTGAGTGCATCTTCTCGTACAGATCCGCCATCTCCATGCGGGCCTGGGTGAAGTGACAGAGCTGCTCCGACAGGTGCGACAGCAAGTCCTCCAGGAAGGAGGCGGAGCCTGGCTGGCTGTGCCGCCCCATCATCACCACTTTCCTGAGCTCGTTGTACAGGGAGGTGTAGATAGTGCGGATGGAGTCCTTGCGGCTGAAGAAAGACTGACCACCTGCAGAGAGAGGAAAAGGAAACCTGCTGCTTACAAACACAGAACAGTCTTCTGCTATGGACGTGTAAATGGTTGACTTTTCTTTAGCATTCAGTGCTGCAGTGCCATCTGGTGTCAGAAACATGTAGTTGTGAGATTACCACTAACTAAAGTAGAAAGATTTTTAGTTACATTTCACCTGCTATTAATACACCTGCCTTCACAGAATGACAATATTCTATGACACTAAGACAATGACTCTGAAAATTTCTAGGGATAAAAACGTAAATATTTGTCTCCCACAGAACAGCTGGATAGGGGGATGTTCAGGGATTGACCCACTGCAAAAGGATGTATTGATTCTATGTGAGACAATCATTGCTTCTGATCAGCAGAAAACCTGTAAAACATTTTTCAGGAGCACATGAAAACTGTTTATGATGTGTAACCTGTGCTCCAGATCAAATATGTTTTCTCTATAAAGTTAGAAAAGTAGCTAAATATTAATGCAATAGAATAAACATTGCAAGTTTCCCTGTGAAAGATAGAATTAAGTAGCATGAAATGGAAAATACT